GTGGATACGGACGTAGTCCCTATGGCGCTCTACCAAACATCCAAGCTTCTCCAAGTCCCGTCCTAGGCAACGACTTAGTGACGCCAAAGCCAAAGGTCGAGGAAGCGTCACACACAAACACGTCCTCCAGATAATCCTTGTCTAAGCTAACACTGAGCAAGGGAAGTAAACCCAAGGCAATGGAAAGCTCGCGCAGCACTGCTGCTGGCACTGGCACCTGCTTGCTAGAAGGCTCACTATGCACGAAGTCATAGACGCTGTCGAAAATTCCGAACATTGGCCGCTGTAAGAGACACAGCCACTACAGCAGCCCGAGCAAACCGTTCAAGCCAACGGGTGAAGCTTTCTTTTTCTCCAGCACATCCAGGGTGGCCGTGACGCAGGTCAAAAGCTTTAGGTTGCGCCCCAGAGCAGTTATTTGTTCGGCCAACGTCACGTCCTTGCTGGCTTTCTTTGGAACGCCAGCCTGTTGTAGGGCGTTGTCAAACTGAGCCAACGTTGCAAGGTCTTGATCTTTATCCCGGTGGATGAAGACCGTGTCGTCCGTGGCGACCAAGCATAGCTCAGCGGCGGAGGCCGTGCAGCTGCGGCAATCTTCCATTGCCTCCCAACTGCTGTTTTGCCCACTGCAAAAATAGGAGCAAAGCCACGAACCTGCTGACGCAATCTGACCTTTCCGCAAGCCAACTCACGTGCAACAAGAATGGCATATTCCTGAATGTTGCCCGGGCATGGGCAATCTTCCCAGGGCACATTCTGTTTGACTTCCGGAAAAATGTTCGCCCCGCTCAGAAGCTGTGCTAGTTCAGGCGAGACATATTTCACTGGGTCACAAGTCCCTGCCCGCACGAGAAGGTCCACAGCCTGCCCACTTAGAGGTTCGGTCTTTGTTGTGGCTGAGTGCTCAAACTTGTCGAAGCCACCTGACCACGACCACGAACCATTGGCAGCTGAAGCAAACCGTTCAAGCATCCGCGCTATTTTGGTGGCTATGTGAAGATGTGCTTCCATCTGTGGGGAAGTGGCGGCAGCAAACCGCGCGCTGGAAAGCTGCGACAGCTTAAGATCAGCCCACAAAGCATTCAGGCTCACAATGCAGAAATTTGCGATGCTCATGGCTGCTGACGCCCAGTCTGGCTTCATGGCCACGGCTGCCGGCCAAGCCGGCAGCAGCGGCAGCGGCAGAACGTGTGGTGTCTTCCCTCGACGAACGCGCCTTGAACAGGGCATTGGCTTGCTCAGGCCTTTAGAGGGCAAGACTGGGCAGCGTTCAGTGAGACAAAGGCCGGGCGCGGTCACCATTCGCTCACCCATGAATCATCGAACACAACCCCACCCTAGCGCTAGTAGTTGAGGCCCAAACAGCCTCAGCAAACAAACGGCATACAAACCAAGCAGGCTTTCAGCTGCGCGGTCATGCGGCCTTTCCTCACCCCTGCCACAGTCTGGAGGTGTGCTGTTGGCACTCGATCGAAATGCGAAATGTGAATCGTAAACGAATGTGACCCAAAATTTATTGAATTTTACGATCAACCGCCTGGCAGAAAGATTCGCACAGACGAACCACCTCCACCTCCAAGCCGCCCAATATCTCGAAAACCACAGGTTCAAATCCAATTCCTTGGGCTCGACACTGCTCCTGTATAATTTGGTGAGAACATTTGATTTGGGCATAAGAACTAGTAATTCCCTAATTTCGGCAGCAGCCTGAAATTACCCCAATCTTGAAAATAGAAACAACCGCGAAATCCAAAGCTATATGGGGATACAAAGCTCATTAGGATTGTCTACACAAAGGAGTTGGCACAAATAAGACATCAGCCGGTCGACGCCCCTGCTCCGCTGCAAAAGCCCTCCGATTCAAGACGAGATCAAGCGCCGCATTTGACAAACAACGGAAAAAAGGCATCTCGGATTTGATGTGTAATCGGACCTTTCCCCCCTCCATAGGGCAAGTGACGGCATGATACGCATAGATATCATGATCCCGTATATGATTGTATCCGCGCAGTACCTCCCAAGCAAACTTGAGATACAAGATGTCGTCGAGTCGCCTCAAAGAGCGTGGGCAAGATATCCTTCTGAGCTATTGGCTCCCTGTACTCCTGGAGAACCGCCACGTGATTAGGAAGATGAGGCATCAGTTTATCACGAGCAGCTTCATATCCCAACGGCACGAAATCCCGCTTCGAGCGAAGCAAAGCATCAATTGCCGCTTATGGCAAGCACCTCCATTCATTTCAAGAGCATCGGTCATCAAGCCCAAGCCGCCAGATGAAGCTGGCAAGCAAGCCTGTTGCCACGCGACTGAAGGAACCGCCTGTCCCAAGATACTTTCAAAGTATTCCCGTAATTGGGAGTGGCGTCGGGTCTTTTCCTCTGGGAGTGAATGGGACCTTTGATTTGATTGGACTTATTCGCCCTGCAGAGGAATCGTCTGGGGGGAAGAATTGAATCCGAAGAGAAGAGAAAGAAATTTTGCCCCGGATTCTCGAATGGGAAAGTTATAGAAGAAAATACAAATCGTTATCATTTCTTTTGGAAATAGAAATCTCTTATTGAATGGATGGAGTTATGGAATTCTTTCCCACTTAGTGAACGAAGATGAATTGTATTCCAATTCTCGAGGACAACAAGGTTATCCATTCATGATGACCTTGTTTTGCTCGGTGCGGAGACGTTTTGCCGAAGAAGTTCGGGCGGCAATTGGGAATTCCCTTCCTTTTGAGCCGGAATACATTGATGATAATCTTAGTGGCGGCCAGAACCAAGATTTTCTCCATTATTTATATTTCTCCGAGCATTTAGAGTAAATTATGATTCTCTGGACTGCGATTTTTTTTATTATTCTAAAATGGAGATTACAAAAACTCATAGATGATATGATATAGATCATTGATTAGAAATCAAAAATGATCAAATCTAGAATTCAATAAATATATCAGAAATATCACCCAATATTAGAAATATTAAGATGAATATTCCTTCTAGATGTCTACAAACTCAAAATAAATCTTAGTAGTGTTTTCATGAAAAAAAAAAGAAAATATTGAATTCGCAAAATTCATTCGTATAGATTTCTAAATAGAATATTCGGCACATCAAGCCTTATAAATCTGATAATGATATTATAATTCGTCGTAGATTCAATTCATCCATTTCCTTTCTAAGAAGTCTTATTTTGGATATATAAAATGGAATAAAGAAGAATGAAAATCTTCAATCATGATGAAATATGCGAAATAAATTAAATCTATATTCGCAAGTATCAAGTACGATCAAAAATTTTGAAGATATTATAAGAATTCTGTATATAAATACAATCTTATTATCCTTACCCCTTGATTTCAAATTTTCAATTGATTTATTCTATCTCTTGAAAACCCGTCATTATCATATCTTAGAATAAAAATTATCTTCTTTTGATATTTCGGAACATTAAGATTTATTATAGATGAGCCGATAGGAATTCATCTTACAAAAAACACAATCCTCCATTCTAATCGGTTTATTTCTCCCTCGTGTAGAAGTGTTCATTAATTATCGGGAAATCTTTGGAGGCGAGATGAATGAATTGAAATTCTATAAGTCAATGCTCCTTAATGAATGTTTGATGTCCTTTCTTCATCGAGAAATTCATGATAAGAGATCTATTTCTCCTTTTGAGAATCTTTTTTCTTTCGTCACTTTTTCATCTTTCTGGATAATCAATCCTATAATTGGGGGTGTGTGCGGATTTTTATATGATGGAACGTCTCGGAGAATACGAAATTTGCCGTATTATTCGTATTGGGAAGGATTCCTAGATTTCATTTATCTATCCTCTTAATCATTTTTCCTTCTATTTTTCCTTAAGAAGTAAAAGAATTTTCATTTCTATCTTCTCTAGATAATGATTTAATCGGGAAAAGAATATTATGATATTCGAGGGGTTCTGTTGTCCAGGGTTGCAGGTGGGCGAAAATGGGAGGGGTGGGACGGCGATGAACAGATATCTCCATCTCCTTGCTTTCGTAGGGCTTTGGTGTCTTGCGCGGACTTCAGATATTATCTTTGTTATATGGAGAACGACCAGTTCGTAGAAGGAATGAACGACGCAAAGATCGTCGTCGCATGTGTAGTCTTGGTATTTGTCGGGATGAGTTTTTTGGAGAAAAAATTCTATGATTGTATAATAAGGGACGATGACATCGATGGAACGATATTAGGAAAGATAGAATTCATCTTTCTCATGGAGGATTTGGATATGATCCTATATCTGCCCCCACTTGCACTTGTATGCCTCTTCTGCTTTGGGAAATGATCTTGTATAAAAAATCGCCCACCAACCCCGTGCTATAAATGATGATATGATGTTGGAGGATTATATATATAGTTACTCTGCAAGGTCTATATTTCATGGTTTTATGGAATTGGGTTCTCTATTTAGGGGATATATTATAGATACTGACTCTTGGGATTGGTAATATTATGAATAAGACATGAGGTTTTCCGTCGCGCATTGTTTTTCATTGGTTTTTATGGGGTGAGAGGCACCTCATGATGATCAATTTTATTGGATGTTTTTTTGGCACTGTGCTACCGTCACCCCTTTAGCGTACGCTGCTAGCACATGCAGGAGTTGACTCGGACGTCATCCCTTTGGGATCAACGAACGCTGCGCACAGCAAAAATGGGCAAAATAATTGTGACCACTTTACAATTGCTTCGACGACAGAAGCTGCCACGGGGATGTGACAGCCGCAGGGAAGCGACCAAGAGCGTAAAGCCGAATTACACGCTGCACATCTTGGTCATCCTTGCTCAGCTGCAGTTGCTGCTCCAGGAACTTCACCATCTCCACCAAAGGGGTCCTGCACCATCGGAACCTAAACCCTTGCCCCGAAACACAAAAGACACGACAAAACAGCAATGTCCTGGTCACGACCCCCTCGAAGGTGACTGTGTGGGGCTGGAAAAGCAACCGCTGTCCCAGTCGGCCAGCTTCCGCGCTAAGCCAGACTTCTTCGGCGGGGACCCAGACCCGTGGAACAATGTCGTGCTTGGATATAAAATCCTTCCACGGAGCCTTGCTGTCCACGTCCAAAGGCAATGGGTCGCGGGACAACATGCTTGAGAGGTGTTCCGAAGCTCGTGGAGTCTTTGCAACGACTCCCCCTTTCTTGAGATGCTTCGCAGCCACCTGCATGACCTCAGAGGCTTCCCATTTTTTAGGACAGTCAGTGGCCGCGTGCTCCAAATGGCACATGTCGAAGGCCAAGTCCATTAACCCATGGCGGACTCTCTCTGAATCACCTCAGTACCGCTGGCACGCTATGAGAGAATACTGTTATGATTTCAAAAATGTGACAACATCTTAATCGTGCAGTTCGTCACTTGCCCCTCGCCCGTTTCTAGTCAGCTGAGATGCAGGTGCAACTCGCGAAAATTGCCTTCTCTGCTTGGACACAAACGAAGGACTTGACGTCCACCGTAGACACCTGGGAGATGTACTTGATGTAGTCCTCCTCGCGCACGAGAGTCGAGGATGCCTGGGCGGGCGATGGACGCTTCCACTCGTTCATGCCCATCAGGAGTTGTTCTGACCAAATCGACCATACGCGGGTCATTCGTCAAGCAAAGGCCATCCCCATCCGTGTCACCACCAGAAGCCTTGGTCACCGTGTCTTCCTCGCGGTTGCAAATGATTGTGTTCCGGGGAAAATTGCGGGCCTGCGGCGGTGGTGCTTTTGCTTCCCACAATCGTACATCTGAAGGAAGCATCACTGGGAAGCGCCAGACCACAAACCACCCTTCCAACCACCGCTCGCCAGCGAAAACATGACACTGTCCGGATTTCAAGGAGTTCCAGGGATCTCTGGCCGCAGTTCCCGTCACACTGTCGCCTTCGAAAGGGAGTCGCGGTTTGTCCAGGAACTGTTTGTGCATAGACTTCAACCACATGCCCCCAAGTTTCAGTGCGTATTTGATGCCATGTCCCATGAGTTTTTGTTGATTTTTAAGCAAATCCTGGTGCTATTTGACGCCACGTTTACCGTCAGGCAGCATTTATATGGCTGGCTGCCTGATGTGTGTGTGTGCGCGGCAAACACTATTATTTACGATGTTTTCATACCCTCTGCAGCTGTGTTTTTTGGAAGTTTGCAACTCCGAAAACGTATTTGTAAAATTCTAGGATTTTCATGGTTTTTGTGGGACGTGTTTTGGGCATGGTCGTGACAAGTTGGATGCTTGTAACGAACCACATCCTTGTGCAGTATATTCGACAAAGAAACGAAAACACTATAAATATCAGTGTGTTGGGCATACATGCAATATGAATGACGTTCTTAACCCTCCCCCCAGTCCCCCCCACGCGTGGGCACAGAAGCGGGGACTGACCAGAGAGAAACGCCCCAGAAAGGCAAGATAAATGGTTGGGCGAATATGATTTATAATTAATAAGTCTCAAGGATCTACGAGAATAAAAGACGGACCTCAACTCTGAATCGGCGGTCTCACTCGAGGCCTCGAGAAACAATCTGATGGACGAGAGGAGTAGTATGGCGTGCCTCTAGCCTACACGGCATCCCAGAGCCCAGTTTGAAGGCTGAGAAATGGAATCTAGCACATAAGAGAAGCAAAGCAAAAACGAAATTATCAGGAGGATACGTAGGGCAAGGGATACGTAAAATTCAGGCCTCGCGGAAAAAACGTATGGGATAATGGGAGAAAGCCTATTCAAAAATCCGGGAATCCTAGGCGCACGGCACTGGCACTAGATCCAAGAATGACGACTGGCCCGAGAGGAGTCTTACAAACATAATTGTGGTCCTTTATCTGGCATCCCAGACCTCTGTTCCAGGCCACGAATCGGGATCTGGCAATTGGCACGGCAAGGTCCGAACCTACGGGAAGGCGCGGTATGTGGTTGGCGATTATGACGAGATCCCAAACCTCCAGCTAAAGGCCGAAAGTCGAAGTCTAGGAGGGGAATTTGAGGGTTGGCCTACGCTAGAAGCAAAAGACGTAATAATAGCGCCAGGAAGCCATTGGGAGAAAGGATGGTCGAGGCCACGGGTCCCGTAAAGGCTACACGAACGAAAGGCTAAAGAAACAATAATAATCCAGGAGAGTCATTGAGAAAAATCCTACAAAGATCAGAGGATCGTCCGCAAAAGATACGAAAGGGTCGCCAAGTAAGCGGCAGTGGCACAGGATGCTATTAGGGGGGGGGGGGGGGGGGGAATCCCGCAAAAATTATACGAAGCCATGGTCGAGGAAGCGGCAGTAGCAGATGGACGAAGCGGCAATTGCGGCAATTAGATAGGAACCCAATGGGGGAAATTCTGAACAAGGAAGTGGTAGTGGCGCAGGAAGCCCTGGGGGAAATCTCGCAAAATACCTCCACGAAAGGATGGCCGAAGAAGCGGCAATTACAGACGAGATCATTGGGAGATATCGTGCAAAGACTACACGAAAGGATGATCGAGGAAATGAAGACCATTTGAAGAAGAAATA